GCTTGAGGATTTCTCCTCTGGATCTGTCCACTGTAGTTCCTGTATAGCGGTGTCCTTTTTTCTAGTGTTCCTCAATATTGATGCATGTGTTTAATAACCCACTCATACGAATTCTAAAAACAAGCTTCAGTACAAGAAAAATGGGTCGTTCAGTTCAATTCCTGTTGCTATCAAGCTTCAGTACAAATGGTAAGAACTAAGAACTAGTTCTATTCCTGCTACTATCAAGCTGTTTGTTGATATGCTTACAAGAAATGAAATATCCTTTTTGATGTTTCTTTGTTGCCAAATAAAAAGCTAATATTTACGGACATGTGCAGTATAAACATTTGTTATGGAGTAGTACGCATTTTAAAACTTTTATATAATTGCAAAAAAAAACAGTATTCTCATTCCCAAAAACCTACAAAAAAACATCAGCTTATATTGATAGTTTTGGTTCTAGTCCTTATGGCCCGGTTCTAGTAACTGTGTCGCCCGCTCGTTTTAGTTTTTTGTTATCTCTCCTGGATGCTTTTGAAGAGCTTTAATTGTTTTTAGTTCATCTTTTGAATTCTTTTCAGTACATCTACTTACCAATCGTAAGTCCAGTTTCCTTTGTGTTTCCATGCTATTTCTATAGCACAACAGGTGTGTGTGGTTATGTTAATGATCGCATGTAACAAAGTTTATTTTGTAAGTTCAGAGAAGCAACGAGGTAAAAGCAAAACACTAAAACCATGCAATTCTTGTAAAGATATCTGAAAGTTCAACAATAAAAATTATATAAGTTTAGTCTCAAGTGGAGAGAAGTTGCTGCATCTCTGTCTGCCTGTGGATGCTCGTGTGCTATTGTTGCTTTCTCCCCTTCCTGTACATGCTGCTACTCACCTTTTTATCTCTCTAATGCGTTGTGTTGCACTACTACAGCTCGATCCAGGAGGTGCTAGCTCATGCTGGCTGGAACTAGGATGCAAAAGGGTTGACGGATCCATGCCGCACAAGCACTGGTGCTCTACTTTCTTCTTACTTTGTGTTCTAATTTGCTTTCTTCTTATTTTCAGTTTGCGAGATACAGAAAAAAGTTTAAAATATGTTGTGCCTGGAGTTCATATTATTTGCTACCCCAGGATGTACGTCTATAGTTTCTCCCTCCAAATGTGTTGATCCATGTGGTTGTATTTTCTGTGTTTCTCCCTCCAAATGTATGCAAGTACAGAAGTTGCACACAAACCGAAGTTTGTTTTAGTGAGAAAAATGCATACTGTCTTCTATAACTCATTTCACTTCACGATTACTTCACCAGTTTGTTGTTTCCTATTTCTCATAATTCCTAAATGTTCTACTCAACTTCAGCGCCATGCTCAGTCCAACCACGTGGCTTCAGGGTGGCCGAGTTCGTCGCGACCATCAGTTCAGAGACCTGCGTCACTGCTCGTGTCGCTACCATGGCCACCTGCATCACTGCGTGATCAGTCAACAACCTCCTGCACAAGGAAAAGCAACAGGAGTAGAGGCGTCTGAGATGCTCTTTTCTGGCGAGGTGGCTGATTATGGTTGTCAGTTTGTAATACTTTGGCCGCAGTGTACTTATGTATCTTTTTCTGGCCGGAGCATGACCTGAACTTGTGTCAGTAAGAACTTTGATTGTGATGGTACTACAAACTCTATAAAAACACCAGCAATCCATTTTTACCGGTACTTACCTTTTATTCAATTCACATGGATTGTGCCCCTATTACCAATTGTGTACAAAAATGCACCATGCTCACCATTTTATTTTAGTTCGTCAGTTTGTAATACTTTAAAGAGAGGAGGTAAAAGTGAGCCCTTCGGTTTTGTATTATAAAAAGTGCTAATGTGAGAAACTTCAAAACCATCTTGTTTAATAAGTTCTGCTTGTTCCGTGTATAGTATTTATTGAGCTAAAAATGGTATGGTTCATACATTCTCGTCCATCTCGTTGTAATCATCCTTGTTTTTGTGAGTTTCCTGATGCAACTTTTGTGGTCAGTCCAGATGGGAGAAGGTGATCCGTCCAAAGTGTAATTCGGTCACGTTGACGTCCAAGCTCTACAACTGATCCGTACAAACAAAAACGGTGGTCCATTCTACAAAGGAAAAATGTTTGAATTAAATATATTGATCAGTACAAGTTAAAAATGATGGTCCGTTCGGAATAAAAGAAATGACAGAAATTCAACTTGTAAAAGTTCAAGCAAAAAAGGTACCCCATGCAATTCACATGGGAAAAGTACAAGTCGTAAAAAAGAGAAGTCCGGAACATCATTGTAAAAAATGTTTAGTTCAAAAAACTATCATTCAGTTCGATGATACAAACCATGCAAATACAGGGGCGACGATACAATAAACCATTGAAAACTTACGAGCAAAAAATTTACCCAAAACAGAGCAAAGTCTATTTAGTGAAAACACGCTTAGTACAAATCCATGCAAATATCAGCTCAAGTACTTTTTTCGGAACCTTTCAAAATTACTCTCTGAAGTATACATCAGTACAAACACACACGTAGATCAGTGCAAGTACTCTGTTTTTTCTAACGGAAAAACAACATGATGGGTCTCATCGTAATCCAAATTACTCTTCAACGGTTACAAATTTGAGAAAACGTTCAACATGATTAAGTTTCGTATTTTGGATATCTTTCCAACAGTATATTTTTTGCCTCATTTTGACAAACTTTTAGAAAAAATCACCTTCAAAATTAAATTTGACCGTATTTGAATTCATTTTTAAAACCATAAGGAATTAGAAAAACATTCCAATACGAAAACGTTGTGCATTTTCCATAGCTTTCCAATGCCGTATCATTTGCATCAATCCGACAAACCGTTTGCAAAAAATCACGAAAATACGTTTTGCCCAGAATTTCACCGTTTTCCAAATTACTTTTAAATCGTATAGAATTAGAAAAAATAATAGATATATGGAAGATGCGGATTTTCACCAGCTTTCCAACGCCATCTTATTTGCTCAATTTTGACAAGCAGTTTGAAAATTAAGTCCAAAATACGATTCACGTTTTCGATTTTGAAAAAAACGATTTTTTCAAAACTGCTCTTAAACTATAATGATTTTGCAAAAAATTTCTATATATTTGTAATGTAGATGTCAAGAGCTTTCCAACGATATGTCACACGCCCCATTTCTACGAAAAGACGAACAGTTCAACGAGATGAAAATCATCAGTACGATCACCTGAACTCATCAGTTCAAATAGGGTATTTGTTACGCGTAACAGAATAGCCAGATGTGTGTGTGTGTGTGTGTGTGTGTGTGTGTATAGCAAAAAATTCCCGTGCGTTGCAACGGGAGAAACAATCCACCCACATGACCATGTATTTGTGAACGCATGGCGCAGTACTGTATCAACTATGATGAAATCAAAAGCTAAAATGAGCAAAGCTAGAGGATTAACATACATCTCCAGTTACAAGATTGATTATGCAAAGCGAAAAAGGATAACAATGTATCAACAGACTTAGCTTGATGCCACATCAATTCGCATGTTCAAAGTTTGATCCTCAAACGTACCAATCTTGAAAATATTTTGTTTTTGAATAAATATGAACCACGAAGGAATCAAACATATAAAATAATGGTGGTGTTAATAGCAGAATGACCATTTTCTTAAACAAATTTTAGAATCAAAGATATTAGATGTGAAACTTCTGGCTTCTGAGATAATGGAACTGGGTCTTCTCATACTGCTCAAATACATCCTTACCTTCTCATTTAGGACCTAAATGCTCAAAGTAAGCAAAAAAGGAAGTCAAATTTGTGGTCCCTGAAAACATTTACAATGTAAACCAAAAATATGGTCTTCCCACGACTACCTTATCAGAGAACTTGTATATAATTGGAGGTTTGTCTAGAAGGCAATTAATTAAGTCTAACTGAAGGGTAGCGTTTTTATCATAAAAGTGTTTTTTCGGTCAGCAACTGATAAAAAATGCATCTTGTACTCCAAATGGTAGGTAAATGCTGCATTTTGGAGGAAACGACATTCCAAACATGTTAAGAAACATGAATATAAGCAAAAAGCAGGAAATTATTAAAGATGATTTTACTCTTCTTGGAAGCAAGATAAGTTCGTTCGGATGTAGTCGACTTCATTTATTGTCCAACTCTATAGTGTTACTAACATGTCTACACTTTTAACTAAAATCCAAACTAAGTGGCAACTATTCTGTACCTTGCAGTTGTGTTTTCTGGAGCTCACTGATGACAAGGGAACAACACATGTGACAGAAGAAGGAGGGGGCAGGGAGTTTAGTATGTACATGATAAGCATTTGAAAAACAGTCTTTGATGTAAATAAGCAAGAGATTGGAATCTACAATGTTTAAAGATGGTAATTCCAAAAGGAATAAGAATTCTCCTTGAGACCAGAAACATATGTGGAAAATGAGAACTACACAGATTTTCCATGGTCAACCATTGAGAAGTTTAACGCATGACAAAACTGCAGTGCATCTCGTCAGCTTGCTTCTTCGTAGTTCTACAACAGTACCTTGCTCTGAAGTGGATTTAGTTTCACTCGCTCCCTCCCGATCCTCCCGAGGAGAGGAGCTCCTCACGCGCAAGACCAGTGTCCTCGCACTGCTGCACCCGTGTTGCACCGTTCCTTCTTCCAGCTACCTCTCCTCCTCCTTTGTCTCTCTTTTCTACCAGAAAAATCGAAGCCCCGCCATGACCTTGGAGCTCTCCCTGCTAGCCACAGAGGCCCGCCTCCACCTTCGTGTCGCCGCGCCGGATCCCTCCTTCTCCCACGCCCGCTGGATCTCGCCGGCGCCGTTCTGCATCGAGCAGAAACACAATAATTCTTCCAAACAGAAAAGGAAATCATGTGTAGACGCGGCGATTCAAATATGTTGTCTATGCGAACATTCAAAACCATCACATATCATGTATGGACGCAAGCAGGTAACAAAGAAGCCATTAGATTTCATTCGTAGGCCTAAAAGTGTGGAACATGCCAATGTGGCAAAGAAAAGGATCAAGAGCTGCTGCTTTCGATTGCTGCTGCCATGATTTCTCTTGTCGGTGTCGCCAGCGATTCCTTATCGGTGAGATATGCTCCAGCTTCTTCCTCTAGTAGTGTTGAAGCCAGTGTGACCGGACCCTGAAACATGAAGGACAGATCAAAATCAAGCATTTCGTCCAACGACTAATCAAAGTACAGAGTTCAGATTTGTCGATGAATTTGAGAAGAAAACGTGAGATCCAGACACATTTTTGCCAACCTGTAGGCCAAAAAACCGATGAGCAGAGCATTTACCGGAGGATCTGAAGACGCGGTCCCCTGTTTCCTCTTTCTCTCCTCCCGGGAACTCAGCTATTCCAGTGGAACATATATAGACCAGCCGCCGCCATGATCAGCACCCCACAGACATTGAGAATCAAGCGCCAGAGCATCTACCAAACAGAATCGAAACAAATGGAACCGTACCTCCGGCATCCCGATGAGGCGCATCAGCTCTGCCACGACCCGGCGCTGCTCGTCCGCCCTGCACTCCCACTCCCGCATCTCCCGCCGCGGCGCCTCGTCTGCCTCCGCCAGCACCCTCTCCGTGACCTGCCTCGCGTCCCGCAGCCGGCCCCACCGCTCCCGCGCCTTCTCTAGCTCCTCTGCCAGCACACCTCCTTCTCCCTCACCGCAGCCGCCGTGCTCTCCGCCTCGGCACGGCTGGCATAGGACCTCGCCGACGGCGGAGACGCAGCCGCCCGCGCCTATGCCTACGCCTTCAATTTGGCAAAGCCGATGGCGACTGACGGGGAGGCCGCCGCGTTGCCGTCCCTCGGCTAAAGTGGAATCCTCCGCGCGCCCCCGGACCAGGCCTCCGACACCATCGTACTGGAGGCGAGCGGGCAGAGGTGCGGCCGTGGCCGCGGGCGGGTTGAGGTCGGCGGCGGCTAGGGGGATTTGGTTCGGCTTGGCCAGGTCGAGGCGAGGAGGCGGATGTGTACATGTATTTTTTGTCCTGCGAACCGTTTTTCGTCGCAGATTAAATTTAGTACCACCTTGGTTAAATTCAAACTGAAAGCGTAAAATCACAGGAAAGAAGCGTATTGTGACGGTGAACCTATGAAATCAATCCGTGCTTTATTATTACTAGTACAAATGCCCGTGCGTTGCACCGGGCGATAAAAGTGGTAGAACCTACTTGATGGTTCATTTTTCGTCATATTTTATATCCAATTTTAATAAATGTTGAACATGGAAATTTCCTTTTTTAATAAAACTTTAATATTTCATATAAAAATGCGTTGCCATGGGAAATGAATTGAACAGATGATTACGTTACGTGGATAACAAAATGGAACATTGGTTTCTAAAATTCTTGCTCATCTATTATTATGAAAAAAGAAAGTCTTCTTGTAAAGCCAATATTTAAGTTCAAGACGACTCAAGATTACCAACAAATAGTCCATATTTCATAATCTTTTTTGCAATAGAAGCTTTGGTGTTAATTTCAGCCGAAATTATACTCTATGATCCAATGTGAGCTTATTATCACCAGAATTTTTTATGAAGCTACGCCGCTCGTTGAAACTGGTCTTTGGCGATCGATGGGCGGTCTTCATCGCTCCGGTCACTCTTCGGGCTGTAGGGCAGCCTTCTGTGGCGCCGGATCTATCCGTTCACCTCTTTCTTCCTCCTAGTGCTATGCCAACAAGGAGGCAGTGTTTCTTCTGTTCGAGGCTATGTATGGCCTAAAGTCGTAGCAACCTCGTTGCCCCAAGTGGCTCGTTCCCGACAACAGTGAGGTGGAACCTACACGGATGCAAGGACCCAATCATGTTTTGCATCAGTTTGAGCTCCTTTTTGCAAAAGTCTAAGGACTTGTTATGTATTTTTCTTGTTTCTTTAGGGCCTAGAGTCATGTTTTTGATAATGATAATAAAGATACAGGATCCCCCCTCTGATAAAAAAACTTTGGTAATAGCTCATCTAAATAAATTATAATGTTTTTCACTTGTATACTGTACACGTAATCTTACGTCAATCTTCCACATAGATATAAAATCAAAGCCATTGGATATTCAATCGTTAATTCTATTATTTCTCTAATGAACCTTTTTATTCTACTTTTTCACTGGCCCTGCAGGGAATAGCTACGTCACGGCAACCAGATTGTTATATAACATATCATCACTATACTAAAAAAATAGGCGGTACATTACCACGACATCTACGATCCATATGATAAGCAATAGTGGCCCCTAGCTCGTACAAGTGCAGTATCCATATTAGAAGGTTCAGCACACTTTCCTGCTCCATCATTGCTAAAGTTGAGTACTACAATATGAGTGGCAAAGTACAGACCTATAACCGTATTTCAAATAGGCATAAGATGGAGAATATATACCCTCCAGGAGTGTCACCTCCTTGATGGTTCCAACAAATTGATATCATTGTTTGACTACTTCTGTAAGAAATATAATGTTCCAATAAATTGGTATCCAGATTTAATTTGACTACTTCTCTAAAAAACTTACTACATATAGTGTGTAGACACTTGAAATCTGGAAATCGCAAGATCCTCCTCATCCCCGAAAATCGTGAGATCCTCTTCGTCCTTGGAACGCCTCACCGGTGTATCATCTACACACCATGGGTCGCGGTCGGCGGTTCCCAATCTGTTGGAAGAAAGGCGGCCATGGTGAGCTCGCCATGTACTTTAAGCGGCTCCACTTTTCACATCATGTCATGAAATATCATTGTCGATTGGGGGAAATCCATTAGAATCTCGGCTATCTCATTTCTTCTTTCAGCCACATCTCACATAAACCAAAGCTTCAGAATTAGAGTATTGCATGGATTTTTAAACTCAGTAAACTATGTAGAAATGGTACGATGAGAACAGAGCAGTAAAGTGATCACCTTAGAAAGTTCCTGACTAATGTCAGTTTTTTCATAACCAAAAGCACCAGGAATAGCACCATGTTCCTCCGAAAACTAAGGGGAGCAATGCATCACGCACATGCTGGAACCATTTCAACATAGGTAAGATTGAGATTTAATGGCGTCGGAAGGAAATGATAAAACAACATCTGGAAATTTTGGTCATGCAGGAAGAGAAACCATGATAAATAAAAACACACATTTTATTATGGAAATAGAACCTCAGGATAATTCGTAGACAACCTGTCCTATAAGAAGAGGTATATCCACAGAACGAAGGTCTCTATGTAAGCACATGCCATGACTGCAGCTCAATAAGTTCCATGCATTAAGCTAGTAATTTAGTCCCTACAAAAGTCAAACAAATTAACTTTCTTACCTGAAGCATAGTAAATTCTTTTTGGATGCCCTGATATTCCAACTCTAGTATTGTATCTTGCATACATAGCAACAACAATTTTTCAAATAAAGGTAAGCAATGGTAGAAAACATGGGTTGAAGCACACTAAGTTCTTTTTGGATGCCCTGAAATTCCAACGCTAGTACTATATCCTGCATACAACTCTATACTCTATCCTGCATACATAACAACAACAGTTTCTCAAATAAAGTTAAGCAGTGGTAGAAAACATGGAATCAAGGCTGTATTGACCAACTGGAGCTTTGTAAATTGCTTTCCCATGGAACCAAGCGGAAGGGCGACATGGTGGTTCATCAAATTATTCTGAAAGACAATTGTCAGAGAGTCAGAAAGCATTGCATGTGCACATGGGTTAATAATGACAATCTGACTTATTTTTGGAAATTTCAAAAGCTCACACTTTGAATATCTTAATCAAGTGAGTGCACATGCAGCAAGGTGCACTCTCTTGTGACCTTTGTCCTATCTATGTATGCGATAAAAAAATACTGAGCGGTACCTCAAGAAAAACAGAAAATTATGCAATGTTGTACAATGTAGGTCAAGAGTGATGTTTGTACCTGGTGACTATTTTCTAGACATTATGTCCCATTATGTATAAATGAATCTGGTTTTCAGATGACAAATGATATAATCACATTTTTAATAGCTCAAATATATCTATAGGAAAGCCTACAAAAACAATAATCATATTGTACTAAGTTTACAAAAATTGGTTCAAAAGATTGTATGGTAAGAACAGCTTATAGGATTTATTTTACCTGGTTAATGACTTGAAGCACGCAATGAAAACTCCATACATTTTCTTGAAGCAGCAATTCAACAAACGTTTGGTGCATGATCCTTTTATCATGAAACCATAATTGGACATGTAGTAAAAGTCCCCCAGTAATCAACTTTCTAAACTGCACATCATGTAACTTCAGTAGAGTATGTAATAGTAAAAAAAAATCCTATTTTGAAGACAAATCTCAAGAGTCGATTTGTAGGCTTTCATGTTGGAGCTGCAGGTAAGAATCAGCAAGAGAGCACGACCGGCCCAGCAGAGCTGAGAGCGCACACTCTCCAAACCAGAGGGGCAGAAGTAAGCCAACATGGTGTCAGGCGGGAGTTGCGCTATAGAGCAAGGTGAAGGAGACTGACCTTGGGCTGGTGGTGCGGGTGTAGCAGCAGCATCCGCGGTCAAATTAGGGATCAAAGGTAGTAACACAACAACACAAACAGACCAAATTATATATTACTGCACTGTAATAGAGCGACAACCAAAAATCATAGTCAGGCATCAGCAAATAGCATACAAATCAGGCCAAAATAAGCATTGAAGTTTTGCTCAAATTGGGGATCAGAGGTAGTAACATAGTAACACAGGCATCAGCAAATAGCATACAAATTTCTCCAATATTTCAATCAATGAAACCCAGATAAGAAACTTGATCAAAGGAACAAAGGAACAAGCTGGTCAAGTATTTCACATCTTTCACAAGAGAAACGTGATTTGCTTGATTGCTCATTGAATCTGCAGTTGTTAAATATCTGATGTAGCATCTAAAGGTCCAACACAAGTAGAAGGACAGATTCATCAAAACTGTTGTTTCTGAATGTAGGTGTGGAGCGAGGAGCTCCTAAATCTCTAGAACTCTATCCATAACCCTGCTCTCAATTTCTGTTTTTTTGTATTGATACATGTACAGTCGATATTAGTCTGCTCATAATCAGTCAATCACTTCGTCACTTTTGCTAAGACTTCTAGCAAGGACACATAAACACACCAATGTTCACAGCATGATCAAAAACCGATTGAGCAGCTATTAATACGGCAACATTATACGGCAGGAAACATAACTACGACAATTGCAAGATCACATAGTAGCAGTTGAATTGCAACATTATACCACAGGAAACATGAGAAGCAAGGGAAGAATTATATCTGTATCATATCCCAAGCGACGGTGCAATGCTCGCTGGTGGCGCTGGCCTGATTCACGATTCCGGCAGAGAACAATTCAACGGTGCACTGCTCGCTGGTGGCGCTGGCCTGGTTCTGGATTCCGGCAGAGAACAATTCAATATATAGCATCGAACTACAAATCCTGGTCGGTACGGTTTCTTTGTTTGAGAAGGACACGGGAGCAGGAGTTTGACAAGGACACGGAGGCGGAAAGGGTATCCCGCTCGCTCTTTCTCGACGAACAGAGCAACG